AGTACTTCCGCCAACCACTACTGCCCACCAATGAAAGCAATAGTAAATAAAGGCACCAATTAAAGGCACACACACATATTCCCTCACACTTAATAAATGTAAACTGCATTATGATTGGACTAAATGCACTTAGGTAATTAAAGGGGAAGATCCAAGAGACATTTAAAAATGGAAGATTCAGAGGACCTACATTACAGCTGACTGAAGAAGCTCTATTTGAGAGTGAAACGCGTATTGGCCATTTTTAAAAGACTTTTATTGAGGACTTTTTTACACCATTTGTTTTTATAAATTATATATTAATAAATTTGTCATTTTATTTAATATACAACTCAAGTTCTTTTTTTGGAGCCTCCAGAGAATCTTCATAGGGGTAGTGCCATCCCCATTCAAACTGGCACAGAGTTTATACACCTAGAGCCAGGACCCATAGGCTCAGGACCAGGTGAGCACCACATTTATTAACATATATGTGTGCTTTTATGACCGCAATCTACACATTGGTTCGCTTTCCCTCTGTTTTTGTCTTTGAGAATCACTCCAAATCGAAGTAGAAGGGTGGTGCTACCACAATAAGCACACAAGCCTTGATACGGAGCCAGTGTTTCTATATACAGGCTCCTTAAAATGTGAGTGCACAATTCATTACAATCTCATTATTACTACTGCATTGCCACTTTAAAATACCATCTGCACTATATTGTACTTTTCTGTATTTTTTCCACATGTACTTTTTACTGTACCATTGTACGAAATAACGTATGGTAAGCTATATATGTGTTTGAGCGCTCCACTTATAGGTGTAGGTCTTTGTTACTTACACCGCACTTAAATCTATGATGGTGTTATTTTGTTTAAGAGAACAGGCTGGCACAAATGACAAATTTGGGTTTGTGGTCAACATGGTTAAAACTCTTCAAGTTAGTGACTTTTTTTAGACGTGCTGTGCAATGCACATTTTACAACTTGTAGTAAAGGCAGAATTTCCAGAAGGCAATTCCACTGTGGCAACCTTACATGATCATTGTGGGAGGATTGCCAGGCATATCCAGCATAGTGTGAGCTTGCCAAGTCCAAGTCAGAAGCAAGAGAAGGCAGATCTTTTCACACACCATCTATGACAAGATGCTAGTACATGATTGAACTCCACTTTGGAAATACTGGAGTGTTCAGGAGCAGAAGAGGGTTTACATCTTACCAGTACATTATTACCAGTACATTATTACCAGTACATTAATGACTCCGCTGTGTAGAGAGGATTGGACAATTATAGTGCAGTTAGTGACAGTCCTTAAACTATTTAGTGATACCACTGAATACCTCAGCCTGGTCACTGCCAGTCTTGGACAGGTTATCCCCCAGTTTACACATCTGCAGGGCAAGATGGATGCCTTCTTTCAGAACCACAAGCCATGTTTCAGGAGATACAGGAAGGAAGCACACACCCCAACAAGAAACACGTGGGATAGAGAATAAACCATAGAGTTAGTTGCATGTAAACCAAACATAACATCCATAACAGTATCAGGTGGCTCACTATATATTAGTGTAACAGCAATGGCGAAGAGGCTCAAAGATTGCTGAAAGTTCACCTGTGTGAATGACTTGATAATTCTCCTGAACTGATACTAGGATGAAGGGGAAACTATCACTCAGATCCAACAGCCTGCCATGTTGGAGGGTGAAGCTTATCAATAGGGTGTCCCAGAAATAGTCAGCGTATTCCTCTGTGAACCTCGTTTGCCCCCTACTGCTGACCATCTGAGATACTGGGAAGACAAAGAAAGCATGTGGTCTGCACGCTCTCTGGTTGCCTAGGAACCGGTCATACCCACAAATGACTGTTCAAAGTGAAGTCATACAGGAAGGAAGCACACACCCCAACAAGAAACACGTGGGATAGAGAATAAACCATAGAGTTAGTTGCATGTAAACCAAACATAACATCCATAACAGTATCAGGTGGCTCACTATATATTAGTGTAACAGCAATGGCGAAGAGGCTCAAAGATCTGCTGAAAGTTCACCTGTGTGAATGACTTGATAATTCTCCTGAACTGATACTAGGATGAAGGGGAAACTATCACTCAGATCCAACAGCCTGCCATGTTGGAGGGTGAAGCTTATCAATAGGGTGTCCCAGAAATAGTCAGCGTATTCCTCTGTGAACCTCGTTTGCCCCCTACTGCTGACCATCTGAGATACTGGGAAGACAAAGAAAGCATGTGGTCTGCACGCTCTCTGGTTGCCTAGGAACCGGTCATACCCACAAATGACTGTTCAAAGTGAATGCGTGTTGTCAGTTACAAGGAATTTACAGAATCCTCAGTGCTCAGAAATGTCAAATGGTTGCCTTCCTGAAGTTAAATCTGGCCACGCTGAGGTGCTCTGATTTATATTTTGATACTAATTATTTCAGTTATTGTTTCTCTTCTAGTTGATATATGTGAAAAATCAGATGGGTGGTGTGCGGGTGAAAATAAACTGTAACTGACAATTTTCCAGGTGATGCAGCACAGTGAGAATTATGTTCTTCTTTTTCTACTTTCTGGTGATAGGTTTGAAATAAAAAAACTCACGTTTCCAAAATTGGATCACAGTTGCTTCTATAGGACTAAGTGGGTGTGTCTAAGAATATGGATCTGTGTTTGTGTATCTCATAGAAACATAGAATGTGACAGCAGATAAGAACCATTCGGCCCATCTAGTCTGCCCAATTTTCTAAATACTTTCATTAGTCCCTAGTCTTATCTTATAGTTAGGATAGCCTTATGCCTATCCCACGCATGCTTAAACTCCTTTACTGTGTTAACCTCTACCACTTCAGCTGGAAGGCTATTCCATGCATCCACTACCCTCTCAGTAAAGTAATACTTCCTGATATTATTTTTAAACCTTTGTCCCTCTAATTTAAGACTAAGTCCTCTTGTTGTGGTAGTTTTTCTTCTTTTAAATATAGTCTCCTCCTTTACTGTGTTGATTCCCTTTATGTATTTAAATGTTTCTATCAAGCATCCCCCCTGTCTCGTCTTTCCTCCAAGCTATACATGTTAAGATCCATTTTTTAACCTTTCCTGGTAAGTTTTATCCCTGCAATCCATGAACCAGTTTAGTGTGCCCTTCTCTGAACCCTCTCTAAGGTATCAATATCCTTCTGAAGATACGGTCTCCAGTACTGTGTACAATACTCCAAGTGAGGTCTCACCAGTGTTCTGTACAATGGCATTAGCACTTCCCTCTTTCTACTGCTAATACCTTTCCCTATAGCTCAACCAAGCATTCTGCTAGCATTTACTGCTGCTCTATTACATTGTCTGCCTACCTTTAAGTCATCAGAAATAATCACCCCTAAATCCCTTTCCTCAGATGTTGAGGTTAGGACTCTATCTAAATATTCTGTACTCTGCCCTTGGGTTTTTATTCGTCCAAGATGCATTATGCTTGCACTTGTCCAACATCTACAATGTGCTTGCCACAATTCTGACCATTTTTCTAGTTTACCTAAATCATTTGCCATTTGGCTTATCCCTCTATCTCTGTGTGTCTGCTCACATGTGGATCTGTGTGTTAGCATTGGGTAGTGAAGATCTGCAACTCTCATGGGAGTGGATGACTTGCGTTGGTGGTACCTCCAACTGGTACCTCCAGGTAATTGTGTTGGAGACCCCTGCTGTGGCGGAACCAACCTCGCCACTGTGCACTGGAGAAGCCTGGTGGCTCGCCTGCTCCCTTTAGATTATGGCCCTGCAGTTCAGAGCTGTTATTCTCCCTGCTGAAAGGTTTATTCGTGCCTTTCTGCCAGTTCGGTAGATTCCATCTACCGAACAAACTACCGAACGATGGACCACCTGGGAGCTGGAATGTGCCGTCAATTGACCGCCCAGAAGCTGCGGTTAACCGCAGCTTAATTGATGAACGTTGGGTGGCCTTTGTTCGTCTGCCGAACACGTGGCAGCGGCCATTTTACCTCCCGAATGGCCAGCGGTATTCAGCGCCCAAACTATGGAACTGAAAACGGACACTTATTGGCGCGAACACCGCTGAGCCGCCAGCCTCCTTACCTTCCCATTTGGTAAGCAGAACCGAATGACTGTTCATTCGGTAGTTTCGCCAGATGAACAGCATCCCCCAGATAGCTAAGCCATGGAGCCTATTCATGTAACAAAAGACTATGTGAAAGACTTTGGCTCCATGGCGATTGAACTGTATGTATGTGATCTGAGCGCCATTCGGTAGTAATGTGCGCTCAGATCTAAGCTATTTGGGGATATGTAGAATGTATATGTTTTAGGTAATAAATGTGGCTGTTTGTAATTTATGTCTTTTACTGTATTGTTACTGCCATGTGGTTAATGGAGTTTGGCCTCTGTCCTGGTAGATAAATGGATTACTTCCCAATTATCTCCAGGACAGAGAGGAGGGATTGTGATGTAATTGTGGGAGTGTTTAAAGGTGTATGTCTGTGATTGGCTAAGAGCCAATATGTTTCCCAGTTTCCCATTTGGTCCTCTAGGGGAGTTTCCACCAGGTGGGAGACCTGCATAGTTAGCCCCAGTAAACCAGATTCTGCTTGACCCTCAAACCTTAGTGTCGTCTCGTCTTTGGGCGGGATTTACTGTATGCTGTTAGAGACTGATTGCCAGGAGTGTAAGCCGCTTGAGGGCTTTTCCTGTTTGTCTGCTAACAGCTATTCGTGTGTCTCCAGTTCAGGAGTTTGGAGCACTACTTGATATGCAGGACGGGAGTTTTGAGTATTCCCTTGGTTGCAGTTCGGGAGTTGGTGAATTCGTGGGTTTGCAGTTCGGAGATTGGTGCTTGCAGTAGCTGTCTGTGCATCTGAAAAGGGGGAATATCGCCTAAACGGTTTTTAACCTCTTGTATGCAAAATGGTCTGTTACACCTGCTATAATGGAAGTGGAGGTTTCCTGTTTCCACATCATGTTAAAAACAAAGAAACTAAACAAAATATTGACACACTCATAGAATAATGATGTAACTAGTTTGACACAATATAATGTATTACAGTGTTACAAAAAGCCATAATACATTAGACACAGAGTAACAATTTGCTTTCAGACATACAAAAAGAGAGTTAGGAAATGTAATTTTTATTTATTTTACAAACTGATTCTGCAGAAAGCCAGTTGCATAATATTCTTGCTTACTCAGTGCAAAGTAGTTTTCCAAAAATAACTCCATCCTAAATCTTAATAATTGACTAAGGGAATGACTTTGACCTTCATGTGTCAAAGCGTGGGCCAAAGTGTTACAAAAGAAATTCAACAGAACCTAACAGCCAAAATTTAAATGAGCACTCAAAGCACCATATTTACAACAGGGCACTTTAGTATTTATGTGCCATGGTTGCCCAATCCCCCATCGCCTAGTGTAAGTTGTCAAACCATTTTAGAATGGATGGACTTCCATCGAGCTCTGATCCCCACTTCCATTACTTTCTATGTTTGAGCTTCTGTAAGCTGATCACTCTCAGGAATGAACTTCCAGTTCTCTGTGTGAAGTAGTTGAGGTGAAGGACTACTCCTGACGGGACCCATGTAAGAAGTCAAACTGTTCGAAAACAATTTGACTTCTTATAATGTGCGGATGTCAGATGACTCCTGCCACCATAACTACTACAATACAGTTCTACAGTAGTGCTTATGATGCTTATAGTTTAGAAAACATTTGTTCATCTGAAAGACTGCATGTAGTAGAATATTTAGCAATGACACCTAAATAATAATGAAAACACCTCTTAGCTTTGGCCAAGTTGGCTTAAAATGTTGAGCCATATGGGTTAATATATGTGCATATGTCTCTGTCACACTTATTTTTATTTGTTAACATCACAGTAATGTGTGTTTTGTACTAACATTAACCTTAGTGGACATACCTTACCTCAGAAAATTCAACAAATTTGTTAAAGTATAAATTTGTCACAGTGAATGTTGTACTTGAGGGCTGGAAATAGTCACAGGGCTAGTACTGAGACAAAATGCAAAATAACTAACATTTTATGAGGGGATATTGGGAAAATCTTTCAAATGGAATAGGTTAAAACATGACATAGGGCACATGCACACAGCTATTCTGAAAAAAAACAAGGGGTATATAGAGGAGATGGACTAAACTGGACAGTTGATTATTACATAGCATTGTAACTTATTATCTAGATTTTAAAAACAATACTTGTTAATAGACAGGGGAAGTGGAATATGAAAACAGAAAAAGAGGGTAACAGCAAATGATTCACTTTAGACAGAGCAAGTCCCTTTTTAATGGAATCACTTCCTTCTTCTGCGAACAAGCACCTGGCTTGGAACCCTGGTTCAAAAGAAAAATATGAATGAATGAATGAGCATTATTGGAAGCCTGAATGGCCCCTAATTAACATCTTAGTCTTTACATTAAATATATGTCACGTTTTAAGAATCATAGATAAACTCCAGTAGATATAAATTGATAATAAATACAATATTATGTATGTAAAATGTGTAAGGCTTTTCAAATATAGATTTCAGTTGCAGCTTTGCTTTCAATTTTATGGCTATGAGGTTTCTAATCAACATAGAAAAAAGTCGGTCAATGTTTAAGTATATATAGTTCATGTAGTATATTGAAATACACAATCTAAAGGGACTCTAAAGGCAACCGGACCACTTCATCTAAATGAAGTGGTCTGGATATCACGTTCCTCTAGTTTTATCCCTGCAAGTGAATAAATTGTCGTTATACAGGAACAGTAATGTTTACATTGCTGGATTTAAATGCCTCTGACAGCCATTAGAGGCACTGCCAACTGCTAAGAGGAAAAGGTAGGTATGTGTATAATAACATTTATTATAAACTGTGGGGAGCTTAGAATAAACACTGCCACCCCACACCCAACAAACGTAACTACCCATAAACAACATCACTGCAACTCATGCACAGTGACACACAATTACATACAAACAGCAACAAACATCAGCCACAGCTGACCACACGCATCACTAACAGCTACACACACAGAAGAACACAAAGTAGCCCTAGTTACCCACACACAATCAGTCACAACTGAAGTTCCGATATCAGCTTTTCACTTTTGATAAATGTTAGCTGAACTACAACTCATGGAAAGTTTATCTGTGCTTCCTGATGGTATAAACTTGTGTTACCATCCACAAGGGAGTACTTAAAAAGGATGGAAGTTAGACAGAGGAGGCAGTCTTAAGATGCAGAATGCTTAATCCCGACCCCCCCCTCACCCCCCCCCCATTGAGCATGCAAGTAATCAGCTAATTATATCAACATAGAAAAAAGTCTGTCAATGTTTAAGTATATATAGTTCAGGTAGTATATTGAAATACACAATCTGAAAGGGACTCTAAAGGCAACCGGACCACTTCATCTAAATGAAGTGGTCTGGATATCACGTTCCTCTAGTTTTATCCCTGCAAGTGAATAAATTGTCGTTATACAGGAACAGTAATGTTTACATTGCTGGATTTAAATGCCTCTGACAGCAATTAGAGGCACTGCCAACTGCTAAGAGGAAAAGGTAGGTAAGTGTATAATAACATTTATTATAAACTGTGGGGAGCTTAGAATAAACACTGCCACCCCACACCCAACAAACGTAACTACCCATAAACAACATCACTGCAATTCATGCACAGTGACGCACAATTACATACAAACAGCAACAAACATCAGCCACAGCTGACCACACGCATCACTAACAGCTACACACACAGAAGAACACAAAGTAGCCCTAGTTACCCACACACAATCAGTCACAACTGAAGTTCCGATATCAGCTTTTCACTTTTGATAAATGTTAGCTGAACTACAATTCATGGAAAGTTTATCTGTGCTTCCTGATGGTATAAACTTGTGTTACCAGCCACAAGGGAGTACTTAAAAAGGATGGAAGTTAGACAGAGGAGGCAGTCTTAAGATGCAGAATGCTTAATCCCGACCCACCCCTCACCCCCCATTGAGCATGCAAGTAATCAGCTAATTATATAGGCCAAAAGCTATAAAATAAATAATTTACTAGTATATTAAATATGTGTCAGAGACATTTACTTACTGTGTATGTTTCACAAACAAGGTTGAATAGTGCGTTCTGAGCCTGATTTTGAATATCATCAGTGTGTTCCTAAGAGAAATAAAATAATTAAATCTTGTCATTAAATTCAAGATGTGGAACATTAATGCTTAACCGATTAAGGATCAAATAAATGTTTGTGATTGATTTTCAACTCATATTAGTTCTGTTATCCACAACATGTGGACTGAAAGGTCCACTTTAAGCAAATATAGCTGAAAAGAACTGATGCACTGGCCAACTGCCTTGTTAAAAGAACCCTCAAAGCACTACAACCACTAGAGCGCGATTAAGTAGTGGTTATGGTGCTAGGAGTGCGCTCACCTCTCTGCCTCCTCCCCATTGTAAGGAGTCAAACTCTTTTTTAATGGTTTCACTTTGTCAGGTGCCACAAGCTGTCTCCACCTTGAAGGAGAATCTCAAGTCTTGAGCAAGAGCTTCCGTTAGCTCTCCTGAACTAAATCCTGAAATGCAGAGCTAGCTCATTGGCTGAGAATGTCAGCTGATTACACACAGCCAATTAGCTAAGCCCTGCACTGCAGAACTTATCTTCCAGCTTTCTGTGGTTAGTAGTGGAAAGGTGATTGGTGACCTGCAGACCCCAGGTAAAAAAAAAATATATTAAAAAAATGTTCTAAAACTCCTTATAATGGGGTTGGGATGGTGCCAAGCTATAGTGGTTGTGGTGTTATACTGGTTGTGGTGTTCTTTAACCCAGTTCTAAGTACATAGCATGTATCTCTAAGTTCCTTGGTTACATACCAGTTTTGGTAAGGTAACTAACTATACCTTGGTTTTTATCAAAGTTTTAGGTGGTAATAAATTAATATTTTGTACATATTGCACCAAATACATTTTTTGTTTGTTGTTTGCATTTTATTGGAATCTGGAGGAATTGCAGTCTACTTGGCAGCACTGATTGTGTGCATAGATGCACAATTTAGATTTTTTTTGCACATTCATGCACATTGACACTTTATACACAGTAGCACTTTTGGTATTTGTTTGCACATAAATGTTGTAACTTAAAGGAACACTATAGGCACCCAGACCACTTCAGCTTAATGAAGTGATCTGGGTGCCAGGTCCAGATAGGATTAACCCTTTTTTTTATAAACATAGCAGTTTCAGAGAAACTGCTATGTTTACACTGAGGGTTAATCCAGCCTCTAAAGCCTCTAGTGGCTGTCTCATTGACAGCCGCTAGAGGCGCTTGCGTGCTTCTCACTTTCTCACTGTGAAAATCACAGTGAGAAGATGCCAGCATCAATAGGAAAGCATTATGAATGCTTTCCTATGAGACTGGCTGAATGCGCATGCGGCTCCTGCCGCGCATGCTCATTCAGCCGATGATGTCGCTAGGAAGAAGGAGAGGGGGAGGAAAGCTCCCCGCACAGCGCTGGAAAAAGGTAAGTGTTTAACCCCTTCCTCTCCCCAGAGCCCGACGGGAGGGGGACCCTGAGGGTGGGGGCACCCTCAGGGCTCTATAGTGCCAGGAAAACGAGTATGTTTTCCTGGCACTATAGTGGTCTTTTAAATATGTGTTATTGGTAGACCCTTGCATTATCATACAGGGTTTCAGGTGGATGCCAAAGATTGAGGAACATATGACTATGCATTAGTGTATCTTCTAGACTTGTGCATAACGAGAAATTACTCTTCTGCTGAATATTTTTTTCTAAAGATAGGAAATTTTTTAGAGCACTAGAATTTCGACCAGAAGTTGGTTCAGCTCGACTGAATACCGGTTCAGGAAATAAATCAGGAGAACAAACCAAAAAAAGATGCAATAATAGGCCAATCAACGTGTTGCAAAATACATACATAATATAATATTTTACAGTACACTGATACAAGCAGCTTCCCACCATTTGGTTAACAGATCTGGTGAGAAAATAACCAATAGAAGGATAAAGAGGAGGAGTTAAAAAAAATCTTTATTTATATATTATATATTTATTAAAATCTAGATTTTAAAATTTTTTTTTGCTGCTCCTCCTACTTTACCTACCTCACTTCTTCCCCCACTCACTTCCTATCAAGCATCTCTTTTTTTGGCAATACTTTGGCAGTGACAAGTACGTTTTTGGCCCTGCTAGTAGCAAAGGACTTCGTATATTGACACCTGTCATTAAATCGGCATTGTCATCCCCCACGGAAAAGTTTTTATTGTGTTGGAATTTCACTTAAATTTCAACCCAGTCAAGAGATATACAGAGAAAAAGTAGGGACTTCTTTGTCTCTGTATTTCACCTAACTTTCATAGACTCAGGGCGGAGGCTAAGCGTCATCCCCGACAGCCATCACTAGTGCCGGCTGCAGAGAATTGGCTATGTATATGGAAGATCTTGCGGTCTTGCGGGATACTCCATAGGCATCAATGCTAAATTCTAGCGCATGCGCGAGAGTACAGAAGTACTCCTGGCACTGTAGCACCATGAGTTTAAGAGAAGCAGAGAGAGAAGGATGGCACCAGCGAGGGGTACCTACGTCACCATTGGGGGTCTTTGTGAGTTTGACAAACTTCCCAGACTGTGAACAGATTTTTTCACTGAAAGATTAACAGGATATTTGTTATTAAACTATAGATTTTTTTCAATATTGCATAATCTGGAAGTTTGAACACAGTAAAATGTATGGCGCATTTAAACCAGTTGAGCTAGATGGTAACTTTATTAAGCAGGAAATGGCACTCACCCCATTGAGGACAATCCAAGGTACATATTGGTGTGGAGGCTTTAGGCTCTCTGTTTTCAGGGCATTCTGGTGCATCAGCTTGATTCCCAAGTCACCACTTGCGCATTCTCTCACTTGTTTGGATGATAGGGCTGGGTTAAAAGCTGTAAGACACTTTGTGGAATTGAAATAGAAAAAGGATTTAGAAGCATGTAGCACAGATGCCATATAGTTGAAAGAGCTATGCATACAATCTATCAATAGTCTCCCCTATCAAGTAAAATACATTGTAAATGCGGAGAAACTTTTTTAAACATTTGAACAAGAGTCTAAAATAAACAAGGTGAAGTTACTGCACATACTCTCCAGTCACTTATTTTTAAAACCCTCGTAATAATGTTAGGTATCTATATATTGGCTAACTTAGTCATATTGCATTGTATTATCTAGTGGGGATTCATACAATAAGTATAATGAATAAAGTATAATAATATTTTATATTTTAAAGGGACATTCTAAGCACCTATACATCTTAAAGGAACACTATAGTGAGAAACGTTTTTTTGTTTTTTTTAATTAAACATGTTTGTGTAAAATCCCAAAATAATCCTTTTTTTTTCAGCACCAAGATTCAGTCCTTGCAGCAGCCCAATCCATCTCATTCGTGGTCATCAAGCTTGATTACCTTCCATCCAATAATTTGCATAAGAAAACAATGTGAACAAAAAGGTCTTGAATGCTTCCCTCCCCTGGAGTCTAAGGGTCCCCAATCAACTAGCCATACCCACTAGTCTTAAATCTTCTTTTTTGTAAATCTTATCTCCAGTGCCAAAAAGAATAAGAAAGTATAATACAGCAAAGCAACTCTTCCTATAATCTCTTTTTTTTCTTTTTCTAAACGGATAAAAAAATACAAATCGCACACAAAACAAAACAAAACAGATCAGTTCTCCCCCACGAGGTCTCCTCACAGAATGGGGCTTCTAAGTAAGAAAAGCCCTTTAAGAGGCTTTCCCACACATTGCATTTCCATTAGAGCACTCTAATTCGTTGACTTGTAAGCTAACCAACCAAAGCAATATGACAGGCAAACAAAAGAGAAAGTATACACACTATAAAGAGTGTAATAGAAACCGTATATTAGGGAGAAGTCCCAGGTGTACCTCACTGACACCTAAAACATATACAATCAAAAAACATAAAGTGGAAACACCTCCCAATCCGTGACAATATATATATATATATATATAAAAAATACAGATAACCTGAAATTAGGCAGATATGGGTAGATGGAATCGGTATAAAAAATTATAGAACTGACATAGCGTAATACAGTTTTAATTCAATACCACTCATTGAATTAAAACTGTATTACGCTATATCGGTTCTATAATTTTTTATACAGATTCCACCTACGCATAACTGCCTAATATGACAGGCAAGTCTCACTTCTTTCGAGACTTGCTTTGGAAATATGAATAACAGTTAAGGATAATTTGGGAATGTGTATCCTATAGGATGCATTTGGTCCTAAATTTTTGTAAAACCACTACCTTGCAAATATTCTGAATCCTATACTTTGTATAGGATTTGGATTTGAAAGCAATAATTTTAATTCTGGCCATATTTGGCTTTAGTAAATATGATAATTGGGATATTAATGGCAATTAATGATAATTTGCAAATGTGCACCCAGCCGGATGCATTCAGTCCAGAATTTTAATAAAACTGGTGCTTTGTCATTATTCTAAATTCTATATGCTTACCCAGACACAGACACAATGTCATGGCTCTCCGTTCTTCTGCCGGCATGGCCACACTTAAACTACTGACAGAGATATTGTATACTTACCTTGGTCGTGGAAAACCACTGCCCGACCGCCTTCCATTCCGGTCCCCAGCGAGTATGACGTTCCTAGAGACGCCGGGCGATGCGGTTCCAGTTTTAATAGGAAACTCACCTTCGCCCACATCAAAGATGGCACCAACGTGCGTGCGACGTCAAGTCATAGACGAGCACGCATGTTTTGGGGTCAGAGGCCAACCAATTACAGCCTCAAGAGGGCTATTTAAACCCAAACTACCTTTTGGTCAGTTGTGGTTTCCACTAGCTGGTTATCCGAGAGTGTGTTCCTGATCGTGTTTTTTCTGGTATTTGACTTTGGCTTTGTTTTGACTTCCCTGATTTCTAGTATTCTTGACTTCTGTCTGTCCTCATCGTTGTGTCACGTTCTGTGTCCCTGACCTCGACAAGTATTTTGACTATTCTCGGGTACGTTAAGTTTGGCCATTCTAAGGTCTGGTTAAACGTTATCCTTAGTCCAAGGTGTGATACTATTCTGCGTGCTGGATCAATTATAATCCTGACACACAGACATTAGTATTACAAGGGCACTGTGGTCATGGGCTAGCCTTTGCAGGATGGAACATCTCAACTGCACAGAAGGCTGATCTACCTCTTTCTACTGTTTGACTAAGGGCACAGTTTCAGCCTTCTCAGTTCTTAAAAAAAATAAAAAAAATAATGAAAAATATAGTAACTGTATTTTTAGGTGCAGTGAATGAGAAGGACTTTACAGTTGAACAAACACACAGCACAAATTGCAAAATGTATCTGGTTTTTAGTGTGAAACATAAAATAGGCTGTAAACAATTGTAGAGGTTAACTTACTGTTTCGAAAATCATGCTGACGTTCCCTGAATATTCCATACAGAATATAACTGTAAAATAATCATCCACGTTTTTCAGAAAATACATGAGGCAGGCCTGTGTGGAGATACACAGAGATTAGATATCATTTAAGTATGCATAAATAATATATATAATATATCAACTTTATCAAGTAGATAGTACAACTTCTAAATTTTATCTCCGTTCGAAGTTTGTAATGTTTGTGTTAGCATGCCGACATCTTTGTTTACCTGTGCTGACAGTAACTTAAGACCACGTACAGGTCAGCATCTAGGGATCTCATGTTAAACAGGAAGCCAAGACCATCAATTAAGTAAGCTTACAGTCTAAAATTCCAAGACCTTAAACACACCAACAATATGGAGCTCTTAGAAAAGAGGAACATTAGGATAGAAAACAGGGACAAAGCGCTAGGGCTCAAAATAAGGAGTGTCCCTCCTAAACAGGGACACTTGGGAGGTATGGATGTCTGAGCTGATGAAGTTACTAAAACAACTAGCAAACAATACAGTGATGAGATAATGAGGTAGAATATATAGCATTATTGAGCATTTGTTAAGAAAACACAGTAAGGTATCAGAGTAGAATCTACATAAAGTTAATTGGAAAGCTTACACAATTGAACAGGAAGTCAAAGTTAGGGAAATTCCCTGAATATCTAAAGTTGTAGCTAAATTAGGCAGCATTGCAACATTAAAATGAATGTAAATGTTATATAAATTCTAACAAAAGTTAAAGGAAAATTCCATTTTTTTTTCTTATTACTGAAAATTAAAGATCACTTGTAATATACCCTCCTTGTTTATTATTGTGCAATGAATACACATAATTTAATACGTTTTTAGTTCATCCTCTGGTTTATCCATGCTATTTGAAGGAGACCAACTTTACCTCTATTTGATCATATGAACCAAGTATCTGTGAAGATCATGGACAGTTTGGAGGTCTTAAATAATCCCAGAGTACATTTTGAGATGCACTCTAGGTCTTAATTGACTGTGTGGTTTTCTTTTTATCAGATAAACTGTGCTTTTGACCAAGCAGGACTTCAAATTGTCATCCCCCACAGAGCTAAGATAATCTTAAAATATACCAAAAAAAGGTATTTACTTGTATTTATGCATTACAAAACAATATGCAAAGAGGCATGTAATCTTTAATTTCTTGATAGTAATAAAAAAAAAAGATGGCTGTTTTTCTTTGTTCCAGCATGGGTCTGTCACAAAGACAAAAAGAGAGGTCACCAAGAGAAGCTGTTGAACAGACAAGGTGGAGGGCAAAACACAACTGTGAAAGTGATAACCATTTCATATTCAGCAAAGTCAGCAGCCATTTTCTGCCATTGTGTGCGGGTTCATGTAAGATCAAGTAATTGATGTCTATGGGCAACCAACACTGGTAGTATTTGAAAACTGCAAAGACACTGAATCTTCCCTGTTCTTTTAATTAATAACTAAAATGCAGGTAACCTCAGCACGCTGCAGGGACAACACTGGAGCATACTTCACAAGGCACACAATAACTAATGTTATTCACTAAAGTGTGTAACTGGAAGTATTACAAAATATTATTGGGGGGGAAAAAGTAGAAATTGTCTTTATATCTGTTTACCGTAGGCCTATCTATGAAGTCATATGGGCCGTTCTCATAATATAATATAACAATTTCTATAATGGGTTCTCAATGCAGAGTTAAAAATATCAAACCTCGATCATGTTTCCCAAACATTCGTCTGGTCCGTGTTGACACTGAAATTCCCATTTTCCACTGTCATTTTTCTCCTGTGGATTAAACATACACATTTAGATATTACATATTGGGAAAAAAAACTAGTCTATAGTATGATGTTGGCACTAATCTTTATAGAACACACAGAACTCTGTAGTGGTTTTGGTGCTGGGAGTGCCCTAGTATCCAACCAATGTAAGAAGCCAAACCATTTAGTAATGCTTCACTTCTTACCGGGGGCTCCAGAAACTCTTCATTGAGCTAAGACATTCGTTTGACCAATATGGTAAAATGACAAACCACTTTTATTTTGACAACTACTTCTTTGCTATATGATTATAACATTTTTCCATACTATAATATATAGATTTACACATCCCACTGTTTGATACACTTTACTACTTCTATTTCAATATTTAAACAATTGTAATACTTTTTTGGTTAACTACCTCTAAAGTGCCAGTGGGCTATAAAAAATATAGGCTGATTTGTACAGCACAGTCGTAGAAACAAACTTTACGTTGGTGAATCAAAAACCTGATTAGAAGCAAAATAGAAAAGATAGAAAAATGATCATACTCCACTTTTCAAAGTGTCTATTCACTAACAAAAACAGATGCAAAATGCAAGACAAACAAGTGTTCAAATTTGCATTCGGATATAAAATTCCTGTTATGTCATTAAACTCTCTATAAATAATGATAGTATTTTAGGAGACACATGACAATGGGGCATATCCCAGAGTTCAATCTTAAACAAGCCAGAGTAACAATCCTAGAAGTCATACTCTCATTGGTTCTGGCATTGTGCTACAAAATGGATCAAACACAATGAAAACGAACATACGGCTTATAAAACTTTGTATCAAACTTGCTTTATAAATAAGCCATGTTCTCTTAGATTAACCCTCTACATTTTATAAAATCACCATATTATTATACACCTTAATCTTACTGTAATATGCACCTCCTCATAAAATATTTATAGCCTGTGTGACCATTTGCTTTATTTAGAAGGGGTTGGTATAAAAGTGTTTGCTACAAACTATTTTTAAGGTAATAACAAAAACAAACCGAACATGATTTTGATACTTATACATAAAATAAAAAGTACATTATGTGTAATTGGGTCTTACCATTGCATTCCCATAAGGCACCAGTGTAATGTTCATGATGTCACCTAGCATCAGCCACGTGGGATAGAGTTGAGTAATTATAAAATTGCGACAGCCCCCACAAAGGCTTTCATAATACAGCTCTACCTGCACAGCAGGAGAGGAGGCCTTCTTAGTGTTAACATGATTGTAAAACTCCAAGCACTGTTTTTCCACCTGTGGATTAAGCAAAGAGTTTGTATCATTAATACTTAACGTTCTGACAGAAGACATTTTAGGGTTTCAAAATAATTTACTGTCATAAGCAGCGCATGCTTCTGTTCTAAGCTCTTTAAAGCTATAATCAAAAGATGGCCTTGTATTCTTATATATAGCTATATTCCCTCTATCACTCCTTTAATGTATTATGTATTCTATTGGGACAGCACATGGTTACACAGTGGCTTCACAATTAATAGGTTTGTTTAAAGGGATACTTTGGTCACCAAAACAACTTTAACCTAATAAAGCGGTTTTGGTGTATAGATCATGCCCCTGCAGTCTCACTTCTCAATTCTATGCAATTTAGGAGTTAAATCACTTTGTTTATACACCCTTATCACACCTCCCTGCATATGACTTGTACAGCCTTCCTAAACATTTCCTGTGAAGTGAGATTTAATGTTTATATTTCCTTTCTTGCACAGTCTGTTTAATTTAGAATTTCTTATCATTTGCACTGTTAATAGCTTGCTAGACCTTGCAGGACCCTCCTGTGTGTGATTAAAGTTTAATTAACACAGCAGGAGTTAAAAACTTCTAAAGTGAGTTAACATCAGATTGAAAATGAAACTATTTTGTGTTCGTGCAGACTGTGTGAGTCACAGCCAAGGGAATTGATTGGGCTGCATGAACATAATCAGACATGTTTTCACTACTAAGTAAACTAGGATAAACTAGGTAGTAAGACTGCAGAGGCATTAACTATACACATAAACTGCTTCATTAAGCTAAAGCTGTTAAACCAAAGGAAGGGCTATGGCTCAGGAGACCCTTAAAACAATAACTTTCTGCTTTAAGAGAACTGAATACATTTTGATAAAATAATTAGAGCAATGGTCAAATTAATGTTTTAAAGTATTGGTTCAGATTGAACATAAATTAACAAATGCACCATATTAAATTCTGCAGTCATAAAGCAGGTCTGACTGGTAAGGACACACGGGTCTAACCATATACATAGGGGATCAAATATTCTCTAAAATTTATATAATTAACTGCTTTAGCACCAGAGACAGTCAGGCAGTGAGGAAACTAAAATGTGGGTGGTTTATGGGTAGAAATCTCTTGTAGAGATAAGAGGAGCAATACCTTATGTTGCAAGCCCCCAAATATTGATAACGATGAGGAAGATCAGCTGTTAGCAGAAACTGAAAGCTAAACATTTAAGTAAGACTTTTTATTGTAGATTGTAATCTCTTAAAACTGAGCTAATTTCCCAACTTCTGAACAAAAACAAAACATATGAAATAGTTCCTCTTTAAAGGAACACTCCAATGCTGAAAAAAAGTTTTCCAAAATCACTGATTAGTTTATATACACCCCCAATAAATATATGTTAACGGAAGCTGGAAACAAATCTCCCTCAGGGAGATTCTCTGAGATTCAGTACTGACATCAGCAGATAAAACACTAGCTTATAAAACACAGAGCACTCTGTACTCTGTAGTCAAGGTGAAATTCAGCTTGGCAGAATATTGGAACCAAGATACCGATTTTGGAATAGATATCATAATGCCCATAATGCCCTAAATTATATTGCCCCCACCCATGAACAAATGTGTACAACTACCCCGCCCCTGGTGACTAGGGGACCCCAAGCCCCTAGTCACCCGCCCACCCAAATAAAAAAAATCATTATAAGTCTTCTTTTTTCTAAAATCTTCTTTCTTCAGTCCCAAAAAAGGCCAAATAAAAAAAACATAATACCCAACGAGCTTATCAAATAAAAAATAAACCCAAGCACAAAAAAAAGAAATCCACCGGAAAAAAAAAACAGTCACTAAAAATTAAAGCCTTCCCATGCCTTGCAATTTGACTCAGAGCACTCTGATTGGTTGGTTTGGAATCCAACCAATCAGAGTACTAGTCATTTTACACAGCATGGGAAAGTTCTTTGGATATCATGGGTTTTTTTTAGTCTTTTTTGGGGCTGAGGAAAAAGAAGGTTTTAGGAAAAGAAGACTTTTAAGTCTGAGTCTTTTTTCCCCAAGTATTTTGTTTTATTGTCTCCCCTCTCATTATTTTTAGGGTGAAGGGGTTAGGTAGGTATTGATTTAATTTTATTTGGGTAGGGGGTGACTAGGGGTTTGGGATCCCATAGTCACCGGGGGAGGGGGGGGTGTATTTGTACACTTAGCCTCCACCCGTCGCCCATGGGTGGGACAGGACAATAGGCGTCCTCCCTCATATTGTAATATAGGGCCTCCACCCACCACTCATGGGTGGTGGCCGGGGAGAAGGACAATAGGTTCCCCCATTTTCATTTAGGGCCCCCACAAGCCTCTCAGGGGTGGGGGCCATGGGGGAGGACAATAGGTTCCCCCCCTTATTGTTATTTAGGGCACCCACCCGCCGCTCAGGGACGGAGGCCAAAGGGGTGATAATAGGACCCCCCACATTTTCATTTAGGGCCCCCACCCGCGGCTCATGGGTGGGGCTGGGAGAGTACAATAGGTCACCCCCTATTGTAATTTCGTGCCCCCACCTGACACTCATGGGTGGGGGCTGGTGGGGAGGACAATAGGTTCCCCCAACCCATTTTTATTTAGGGCCCCCACCCGCCGCTCATGGGTGGGGCCTGGGGGGGGCAATAGGTCCCCCCTTCAGTTTAATAGCCCCCCACTCGCGAGGCATGGGTGGGGGCTCGGGAGGGGGGATACTAAGGTGGCCCAATCAAGAACCCTATGAGCTATTACTTTGAAGAGTTGCTCCATTACAGTTGAATGACCTAAAGTTTTCTGTACTAAAACCACACAGAACACAAGTGAGTTTTCACATGTTAATAAACTAAGGGACCACGGCATTTAAAACCTATTTTGGGGCTGCGGGAAAACTTGCTTTGCTGCTTTTATCAGTCCTGAAAGAACCATTAAAAACCTTCTACGTACGATGCAAATACCAATCTCACCTCCTCTGGTCTCACCAGCGCCATTGACACCTTCCTTGGCTCCTGCTATTTCCAGCCAACATGTACTGTACAGAGTGAGTGGTTTTGAGCAGATGAGGATCAATCACAAGCTCACCCTCCATTAACTTTTTAGTCAAAGTAAAATGGAGACCTGTTGCACACAGCCACCATGAAGGCCAAGCAATCCTGGCTTTGTTGAAAGCGAACTATAATGTCTCTTGTAGTTCCTTGAGCACTTGTAGCTGGTCTGGGGACTCTATACCAGACATCCAGAGGCATAGACTTAGACGGAATTCAGCTGTTTTCTTGAAAGTATTTTATTTTACTTTTTTTTTAGTTTTTTCCCCCTCATTTTCTTAGGCTTTGTCTTTATACTTTCACTGACACGTTCAGCACTTTCATTTAAATCTGTATATTTCTGTATACACAACTGCAGTTGCGAAATAACAAAACAAAAAGTTTGGGGCTTTCCAAATCAGATTGAGAAGGTAGAACAAATCAGAAAAAGAAGTGTTGCCAAAGAATCACTCTACGTGTACACATGTTTTGGCACTATACGGTTTAATGAACTTAAATGTACTATTTTGCACAATATTAAAACCACTGCTCCTTTGCGAGTAAAACAGAGAGGATGCAGCTGTGTGTCAGAAAGTAATCTGAAACTAATGTCATTTTACTCAGTGTACTCACTTTTGTTGCCAACGGTTTAGACATTAATGGCTGTGTGTTGAGTTACTTTGAGGGGACAGCAAATTTACACTGTTATACAGGCTGTACACCTACTACTTTACATTGTAGCAGAGTGCCATTTCTTCAGTGTTGTCACATGAAAATATATAATAAAATATTGACAAAAATGTGAGTGGTGTACTCGCTTTTGTGAGATACTGTATGTTTAAAAATATACACCTCTTTAAATATTATACAATTCTTAACATTTTTTATAGCAGCAACAAATAGTAATTCAAGGAACACTCCATTTGGCACGGTTCAAGGCGAGTGAGTGTTCTGTTACAGGGAACATCTTGAATCAACAATACTCACAAGTGTACCCACAAACTAATGGAGCAAATAGCCTTTCTCAAGGTTAATACCCCCAAGTTGGGTTCATACATCATCTGCTAGATGAGATTTGATTGTCCACTCACATCTCCCTTCAAATTTCCTAATGGATTCTAAAATATAGCAGTGAATCAAAATGTCAAATGAAATTACTCCTGCAGTTGCGGCTCTGCCTTTTTATCTCAAATGCCGTTCACTGTAGTGCCCTGCCTGACTGAGTTTTAAAAAAGCCTTTTACCTTTGTCTTTTGTCCTTCTCATGGTGGAATAGCTGGGGTCATCAACTGCCCACTGACTTTTTTGTTTCAGTTTTTGAAAAATAAATAACTCCAGCTGCTTCTTACATCCGTTTTTAAAGATGCTTACATCCTTAGTATCCGCTATCCCATATTTTTTATCTATATTTATTTTTTGTACATTTTAGTGTGTATGTTATATGTCTATTCCTGATTGGCTAAATACAGTTTTGGCACCAATTTTAAATCATCAGACCCCTCTATAAAACACCCTTTCCCAGGTTATTATTTTTATCCCATTTGAAGAACCCACATATGGTGAAAAGCACAATTGTTGTTTTTTTTTGTGTGTGTATTTTAGATTAATAAAAGTATTTTGGTTACTTTGCTGTGCCAATCCTCTTTTTATTGTATTTTATATACATTTTTTTTATCTTTCCTGGCATTTTACTGTTCCTGTACTTAAAGAAATCCCAGGTGGGGATCATACCATCAACACTATATCAATAGAGCAGTGCTACTGCTCTATAATTGTGAGTATAATTGTATCTACGTTTATACAATTTTATCATAATTGAGAGCACTATTGTTGACTTTTTTTTATCCCTTTTTGGAGCCTTGGAAAGCCAGACGGTGCTGACAGACTCATTCTCTCTACACATCCCATAAGCTAGGATTATACCGCTGTACGCCCTTTACACCAGAGATGGTCATAGCTCTTTTAAATGTGAGCATTCTACCTCTTCCTATCACATTTTATCTTGAACTTTAGACTTATTGCACTATTGGTTGCCTTTGTCTCTCCTTTTGTCTCCAAATATAAACGAACATCTTAAGATATTCTGACACACCTATTTCTACTGAAGAGTTAATTTATCTACATTCTATCAAGAATCCCTGATCTTCTATTGCTGCGCGTGTGAGACTTTATTTTTGGGATTATTTCATTTTTATTGGCGCAGCCCTACCCCATCTTTTGTGTATTGCTTTCTCGATTTGTTGAAGGGTTTGAGGGGTTCCCTTTGTTAGGGTTGCTGCCCTAGTACATATTGTCTGTTAATTAGCGCTGAGCTACTTTTGTTTTGTGTAGATCAGGGGCTTAGCCAGAAGCAGCAGACTTGTTATATTTAGAGAGGTTAGTTGGTGGTTTTAACTTTATAGGGTGTGTACATTTTGCGTTCCTAACCCTATAATGTTTGTTATATGGTGTTAGGAATACAAAACTGGCACTAGGCCTGGCTACTCCTTCAATGTCAGCCAATGGGGGGGACTCAATGCTTTCCTGAGCTGACATATGACAAAGAGGCACAGCAACAACAATGAAGAAGCAGAGAATACGTGTACATGCTGTCCACAATACACAATAAAATTGCAGTGCCAGTGTATATTAGAAGTGATGCACAAGTAGAAAACACAGAGTGCATTGTTGAGTACAGAAAATACATGGGGGAGTAGATTTGGCTGTCAAGTGTGTACAACCATATCTCGTTTACCCCAAAACTGGTACAAAAACACTGACCTATACCAAACCCAGATTGCGGGGGGCGGGGCTGGGCCGCCGAGTTGACTGGAAGCAGAATATCATGGCTCCGGGCCTGAGCTCCTGAAAACGGCACTATAATCACACACAGACAGCTCCAAAACTGCCAAAACAGTTTGGAGAATAACCCCAGCTCCAATTTGATACCAGCCACTTGCATATCGGGAGCACTGATGCCGATACCGCTGGCCTACACGCCACCACAAGCCTGGCAACCAACATGCCGCAAACATGGTCACTCGACCTCTAGGTTTGGAGGGAGCCCGAAAGGGGAATTGTCCCCACAGCTGACAGCCCAGCGGGATCGGACATTGCTTGCCTCCGGCGGACCGGTAGCTGTGAGGCCACACATCCTCATTCCTGAATAAGTGGCCGACGATGGGAGAGATACGCAAGAGTACCAAGTGAACATACTGAAGTACCAGAGATCCAGGGGAGGTGCAGGAGGCACTGGGACTGCGGACTCTTGAGGGATGAGGCTGCATGCACTCAGGTTGCCCCCAAGTGCCCACTGGACTATGGTGCTTGCAGTGGGAGGCTTACGCGGACCTGGGGGAAAGCTTGAGGGCCTGGCACTCTGGGACACCGTAGAAACACCATCATCCCCGCTGACTTTATATGCAAGCCTGAAGTTCCATGGTTATCCACTCTGCCAACCTACGTTGAGCCAGATGCAGTGCCTTACATGATCAATGCTAGTTTGTAATGTATTTATGCTTTGCCTTTCTTACTTTACATTGCTGCTGGGCAACAGACACAGTTCCACCGACATGCCACTGGCGGTAGTCTAATCAGCTAAGACCTAGTAGCACAATATGATTATGTTATAGAGTCCAATGTAGTACCCATGTTTAATTTAGCTGTGTCTTTTATTTGCTTGCAATAAGGCTCCGATGGCACAGTAATTACAATACATCAGAAGACCTAGTTTATTTTTTATAGGGCTGTGTTTTGGCCATTATGCCAACTATAGTAATGACGCAATCTCTGTGAACGTGAATGCTCCTATTTGACACATACCTAGACCTAAAATTCCGCATATCACTTTTGCTTCCGCACTTATGTTAAGCTTAAATTTATGACATCACCCTTAAACTATCTGCATGATAAAGAAGTATTTAATATAAAAAAAGTGATAACAGAAACAAAAAAAACAAAAAAAGTTAGAAACAAAACCAAACTATATCTGTTTTTCTATAACGTACGTATGTACTGTTTACACCTCGTCCCCTGCGTGAGAATACTGTTTATTGTGAAGACCTAGGTGTTTGAGATTGTTTCAAGGTTTACCAAATGAGTTAAACTGTTAAGTCAAAAAGTCTGCATGTGATTTGATTTACTAGTTATTCTGGATTCCTGACCTTGTTATGTGCTGATTACAAGTTGTCAACTGCCTGTACTGATTTATTGTCTTGCTCTGCCAACTGCTCTATTCTCTGGATCTCCTGAAAATGGTATGCCATTTTCTTTCCAATGGTGCCATGCTGTCCCAAAAGCAACATAGGCCCAGAAAATCACTTTAGGTGCTGCATACAGTTCACCAGCTGACAGACTTTTTACCTGGGTCTTCTTGATGTGAACATACAGCTCTTTGTCCAGCATGGGGCCACCAAATCTGGTACCAGCTGAGAGATGGGAACACAGGGCATTGAACGATATCTGGGGTTCCCCTGTTACCAGTAAGTAAAAAGTCCCTGCTGGAAAAATACCAAGTGAAGGAAGTCATGAGGAAGTAAATTATGAACAAACAAACATATACCTCAAATTCTTGGTTTCGTTTTTGGTTCAGAACTTGGACAAAAGCCTTAAGGTATTATGATACATTTTCAATATGATGTCTGCTTTCTGAATATGAGCCAACCTGCGTGATTTGTTAAGATCCTGGTTCTGTAATCGGCTCGTTATGTGATCAGATAAATTACTTTGTGGTGGTATTATATACATGGGTGTTCCAAGAATTAGGTACTTTTAACATATTGGATTGTGAAAGAGAACACAATATACATTTGTTAATTCACAAACCACTTATTTATAAACTCTCATTAACTGATTTATGACTGAACTTTTTTATGTTTTCATGATTTGTCACCATCTGGGAATTTTGCATAATTTGCAAAGACCCCCAATGGTAACATCGTCTCTGGGGGTCCTGTGGCTGGGGGGACAGACAAAGGTGAGTTTTACATAACTGAAATTGTCTCTTGCAGGCACCGCGATCATTCACCATCTGCTCATCTTCCGTTCCTGGCACTTTAACCACCAGGAGCGGACGTCACTGCAAGGGATGCCATCAGAAATTGTGGGGCCCCTAACACAGCTCAAGGTCTGGGCCCCCGTGTGCCCGCCTCCAAATCCCGCCCACAGGAATACACACACACAGACACAAAAGGACACAGACACAGAAAGATACACACATTCTAACAGACACAAATACTGAAACAGACATACACACATATAGACACATACAGATACAGATACAAACACACACACTGATATACAGACACTGACGTACATACATACTCACATACTGACACACACATACATACAAACAGACATACATACTGACAAACAGACATACATACAAACAGACATACATACAAACTGACATACACATAAATACATAATGGCATACATACACATACATACTGATATCTGTACATACAGACATACACACACACACAGATAGATATATACATACACAGATACATACAGACATACTGACATATACACACACAGAGACATACATGCATACTGACAAATATATACATACATACACACACACACACAGACATACATACAGACATACTGACAAACACACACACATACAGATAGACACATACATACAGACACACAGACATACATACTGACACACACAGACATACATACTGACATACACACACACAGACATACATACATACTTGCAGACATATACACATACATACATACAAAGACATACATACATATATACATATTTAAATACACACACACACACAGATAGACACATACACACAGACATACTGACATACATGCATACACACATACACAGTCATACATACTGACATACATACAAACATACATACTGACATACACACACAGACATATATACATACATACAGACATACATACACACACTGATATACATGCATACACACTGACAAATACACAGACATACACACACACACACAGACATGCACACACAGACATACATACTGACATACACACAAACACACAGATACATACTGACATACACACATACATACACACATATATACACATAGACATACACACATACATACATACACACATAGACATACACAGACATACAGACATACATACACACACACATACATACTGACATACACACACATACATACAGACACAGACATACATACTGACATACACACACACAGACATACACACTGACATACACACACATACATACTGACATACACACAGACATACATACTGACACACACACATACTGACATACACACATGCAGACATACATACTGACGTACACACACAGACATATATACAAACATACATACAGACATACACACACTGATATACATGCATACTGACATACACACAGACATACACACACACACAGACATGCACACACAGACATACATACTGACATACACACAAACACACAGATACATACTGACATACACACATATATACACATAGACATACACACATACACACAGACATACATACACATACAGACATACATACTGACATACAGACATACTGACATACACACACACACAGACATACATACACAGACAGACATACACACACACACAGACATACATACACAGACAGACATACACACACAGACATACATATACACACACACAGACATACATACTGACATACACACACACAGACATACACACACAGACATACATACACACACAGACATACATATACACACACACATACATACTGACATACACACACACACACATACATACAGACACAGACATACATACTGACATACACACACATAGACATACACACACAGACATACACACACACACACATACATACTGACATACACACACACAGACATACATATACACACAGACATACATACTGACATACACACACATACAGACAGACACAGACATACATACTGACATACACACATGCAGACATACATACTGACGTACACAGACATACATACACACATACATACATACATACATACTGACATATACACAGACATACAAACATATACACACCCACACCTCATTTATCAGCCACCCTCCTCTTACCTTTAAGTTGCAGGAGGGTGGCTGGGGATGATGGGAGCGAGTGGATGCCTCTCCTTTTTCCTCTTCTCTGCTCTGCTCTCCCTCCGCTCTCCTCCCACGCGCAGTAAGCTGCAGCAAGCAGCAATTGTGGTGTAGCCGCAAATTTTATTTTTAAAGGGGCCTGGTCACGCAATTACATGCTAGCAGCACTGACCGGGCCCCTGAAGATATAGGGCCCATCGGGTGGCCCTAAATGCTTGGGCCACCTGAAGGGCCCCGGTGCAGATGCATCTGCCGCAGTTTCGCCGCTCCATGTGGGGCCCGGGTGGTTGTTATGGTTGTCACCCCCTGATGGCGGCCCTGGTCACTGCTGTATTCTCATGCATGTGCAAGAGTGCAGCACTGAGGTCTATGGGTGATCCCAGGAGACACTGGGGAAAATGACAAGGCTTGACTTTGTTAGATCTTCCCATTGTCAAGCTTTGCCAATCAGAGGAAAAACACAGACAAAAAGGTCCCTACTTTGTCTCAGTATATCTATTCACTGGGTTGGAATTTCAGTGAAATTATTTTTGTATGTTGTTCTAGATGTATTATTGAACTTTGCTGCCTGAAATGTTCGTTTAAATGCCCTATATATATATATCCTTAACAGGGCCGAATTAACATAGGGGCTGATGGAGCTGCAGCTCCAGGCCCATGCCCATGAAATAGGCCCATTGCAAAAAAAAATCTTCACATGTGGATTTAGGGAAACAAAAAAGTGTGGACTGGCTGACAATGAAATCAGTTAAGGTAAAGCTGACTTTGCGTAATATGCAAATGCTCTTGCTAATTCAGTCTAACTCTGTGGCATGTTCCCTTTCTTCAAAATTCACAACATACACATTTTTTTCTGTCCCCGACTGTGTAAAAGGAGCTTCTGTCTGCTAGTACAGGTAAGGAGAGGAGTGGACAAGTGAGTGCTAGAAGAGAGTCCTTACAAAGCATGGAGCAAGTGCATCATTAGATTAATTTATGCCAAGCTCAGGGTGCATAGTATGCCCTTTGTTGGCCAGCCTGCATGATTGGCAGGCAGCCTTACATCCTAATTCCTCGGGCAGATTTTTTGGGGCATGTTTGCCCCTTTGGGCAGTTTTGGTTATGGGATTCGTGTCAGTGGAACACCCTTTTACCCCGCCCACGAAATCATGCTTCACCATATACTGCTGTTAGGGGGTATGGATTTACTTGAAAGATGAATGCAAGACATTAGCATAGGGCATGTGTTTTCTTAAAGCGATATCCTGTGAGTTTGCTTCCAGCACCATCTCCACCAGATACATGACAATTGGGAGGTATGACTGTTTTAGTGTTTTCTGTCGATACGATTCTATAATTAGGCCCATCATAATTGTCAGCACCAGGCCCAATGGGCTCTTAATCTGGCCCTGATCCTTAAGTTATGATTGCTATGGCAAAGACTTAAAAAGCACTAATTTTCCTGATTTATGTTCAAGTTCCTAATGGCGGATAATAAGCACAGGGTGCTATCTGAAAGCATAGCTAACACAGGGGGCTATCTGAAAGGATAGCTAACACTGGGGGCTATCTGAAAGGACAGATCTTAAAGGACAGATAACACGGGGTGGGGGGGGAGGCTATCTGAAAGGACAGATCTTAAAGGAAAGATAAGACGGGGCTATCTGAAAGGACAGATAACACGGGGGGGAGGGGCTATCTGAAAGGACAGATAACACAGGGGGGCTATCTGAAAGGACAGATAAGTATTACTTTACTGAGAGAGTAGTGTATGCATGGAATAGCCTTCCAGCTGAAGTTGTAGAGGTTAACACAGTAAAGGAGTTTAAGCATGTGTGGGATAGGCATAAGGCTATCCTAACTATAAGATAAGGCCAGGGACTAATGAAAGGATTTAGAAAATTGGGCAGACTAGATGTACCGAATGGTTCTTATCTGCCGTCACATTCTATGTTTCTATGTAAGACAGGCTATCTGAAAGGACAGATAAGACAGGGGGCTACCAGAAAGGACAGATAACACAGGGGGGCTATCAGAAAGGACAGATAACACAGGGGGCTATCAGAAAGGACAGATAACACAGGGGGCTATCTGAAATGACAGATAACACAGGGGGCTATCTGAAAGGACAGATCTTAATTCGAGGTGTCAGCCTTTCCTGCAAATAAATGCCCTCTAAACTTCTTCCTCAATACAGCTATTATGACTCATTCTAGTTTATCAACTTGTCATTCCGCACCTCCACTATTTATTTAGAACGTGTTTCCCAAGACAGACAATCATTTCCTGATACCGGTCAAATGAAAACACAAACATGACATTAGTCATTAGTCGGTACAGTGCCAATAGATTAGATTTGTCTTTTTTTTGCAACAAAAACTGGGGTGGAGGGCACCAACCTGCCTCTATGGACCAGCCTCCACTGACTGAGCCACCTGGCAACCCTCGGGGTATTTGGCTTATACATTCTGTCCTGGGTTTTTTGGACTTGTCCCCAATCAAAGCTGCATGAGCACTTCTTTGGATACACTCACTCTACATGCTTTCGATTAAGTCTTGCAGTGCTCTGAGCATGGGCTGTCCTGAGTTGGGCTTGCCAGACACAATGACAGTCAGCCAGCCATCCTTTTCAACCAGCCCACTTCCTCCTGGTCTACCCACCATTGCACCCACCTTTCATGTGTATGATTGTTGGTAGGTAAAGAATCACATAGAAAATATAAGTGAGCAAGCATGATGTAATAATGGTATGAAAAATGTTATTTTAAAAGGTCAAAGTTAGACTAGGACACATAAAATAAATATATAATATATTATTTTGTGTGACTAGATTTTTCCTTTAGGAATCAATGTGCATGCTGGAAATCAAAGTATATGAACATCTCCCAAAAAAAAAAAAGAATTGTCATCTTTGTGAACATCAATTCCCATTGCTTAACCAGCTATCACTGGAATATTAGTTTTAAAAAAAATCTGCAGAATATTTGTGAACTAACATTTCTTTGATAGTCAGCTGCTGAGCATCCTGGAAATTGTAGTTCACAAACATCATTTTTTTTTTTTTCTACCATTATGTTTGCAGTTACTATTTGGCTGTGGGCAGTCTCCTTATGCTTTGGCTCTGCCTACGATCTGTACACCACCAGACATATAGAACCATAGGCTCAGGAGGGAATCAGAGATGCACAGGTATTGTCATGAGCACACAGATGGTCCCCCTGAAACTGCACTGGATGAACCCAAGGCCAACTTCCTTTTTAGCGGTACATTCATTCCACCTGCCTCTTCAGTCATGGCATGTACCATCTGAAGGGGGCAAGAGTCTTGTTAGTGTCAATGTAGATAGGGAATCTGCCAAGCACTCCCTGACTTACCCCCTATACACAAAGATTTAGCAGAAGCAAAATACAACACTTTCACTCTAAAAGTGAAGCTTTGTGTCTATTTTCTTGAATCAAGATCATGATGCTTAGGCGAAGCCCCCCTTTAACTCTCCCAAGCTCACCTTCAAAAGTGACCTGATATGAAGTGAAAATAGGATATATACGGACACAGTGTGTGGCTAAAGCAGACTGATAGGGTGTCACACATTCTAGAGCCATCACGATTCTCCAAACCCTGGCCCTCCATCATGGGAGCTGTAGTTCAGCATCTGGAGGGCCGGGGTTTGGAGAACCCTGATCTGGTGTCATCTCAAACAAAGCACTCTGTAGTGGCACAAACACATTTCTATTGACACAACTCCAAATATTCCTGCAGGGTCACATTATTCCTGCGTCATTTTGGACATGACTCACACTGTTTAAGGAGTTATGTCATTCTTGCATCTCTTATTTACAAGACTCAGCCAATCTAAAATAAGTCGCACCCTTTTTGTGTAATTGTTGATGCAACTCATCCCACAGGTCAGTAACGTTCTTCCTGATATCATTGGTGACATGAAAACAGCATAAAGCTTTTTGTACCATCTGGAGCATGGGACTAACACAAACCAAAAATGTTGAGTCTTTGGCTATTTAAACTGCTCCTGCCATGCATGGCAAAGGCGGACACAATTCACATAATGGAGCAGTACATGTGTACTGAATGAAAAAGAACAAGGAGGACAGTCTATAAGGCTTGCAGAGAAGGTGGGAAGTTAATTTAAGGAAGTTAAGTGAAGAAAGAAGGCAAAGACAAGATAAAAAGGGAAGGAGATACTGAAATGAGGAAATGGTGATTAAAAATGTTATTTTAAACTTTTCAGATCTGCCACTTGATTTTCATAGTATATCAATTATGTGGGATTAAAACATGTGTCACTAAATTAAGTGGGAATATAAAAGTTTAAGAAGACAAAGCTTATTCACTAAAAGTAAAAATACCAGAATACAAGATCATGATTTAAGGGTTAAAGATTTGGGGGGGAATGTGCATTGTGCATGCTAGAAAGAATTCAGTGTTCCTAGTCAAACCACCTGTAGAGGTAAGCATGTGCTTTACTTGAATATGCTGGACAAGTCATCACAGCTTTAAAACTTTATCGGAGTAAGTTAACATTTTACTCTAACAATGGTTTGTTATAGGTATGCTGTAGGGTGTTACGATGTAAAGCACCTTATGTTAAACTACTTAATATTATTTTGTATCCCATCCTTTGAGGACCATGGGATAGGGAGGTATATCAGTGCTGTTTCAGTTTTGCTTGTCTGGTCTCATTATCATGGCAGGCTAATACATACTACATTAATGTGCTCGACAGAGGAAAGAGGCTAAAAAAAACAGAGCCACGGAGGAAGATATCGAGGAAATCCGTAGTGATATGTCCACTATAAAAGAAACCATGCTCCAAAAACAAGCTACTCAGCAGACTCTATCACTGCAACTGGCCTCACAGAAAGACCAGTACTGCCACAACCATATTAAGATCTGCGGTATACCCCCGTGATAACCATGAAGGAATTACCACACTATGCAAGAAGGCTCATAGGCTCTCTACAACCACCTGCTGTATTATATCGTCTTCCTACAATTATATCGTCATCCTCTGATGCTTCTCATCTTAAGATAAAGGCCACGTCATAGTGGCATTGAGGGGTAAGACTCCACTGTTATTTGAAGATTCGCAATTGTCTTTCTACCAAGACTTGACTAAGGCCACACTTCATTGGCGAAAATCACAAAACCCACTCACTAGTCGCCTACGCAGGGATGGCCTACAGATAGGGAACACCAAGATCCCTCCTTATGGAACTTTCCACAAACTTACTTCAGGAGATGAAGCACCTACACTACTCTCAACTCTTGGTCTCATGGACCCAACACTGCCCAAATATGGATCCAGCAACTGTTGTACAGTTTGTGCCAAGAAACATAACAGAGATCACACATGCCACCTGACTAGTGAATGCGATGCGCTTACACGTCTGGTGGAAGCCACACAGAATCTCCACTTTTATACTTTTGTTTTTTCTGTTTTAGAATAATTTTACCCAAATTCTTATGTTATTTTTACTGACTATCTTCAGGTACTGGTAGGTGCAGTCCTGCTTTAGTCTCTTGCATACACACTTGGCACACTTCCGCAAAGTGCCAACCCCCTGCCTCCCCCAATAACCTCTTGGTCAGGGAGACTTTCCGTCTCAAGTAGCCAATGATATTCCAACGTCCACCATTCCTTCTACTTAATTTTTTACTCCTGTTGTACTCTTTTACTGCTTTCTCTTATGATTTTATAAGCACCATGTTCACACAGGACTACTCCTACATTGAACTTACCTTGCTAATTGAAAGCACTACTACACACACACACACACACACATACATTCTGGGGCTACACCAATGACCTATATAAATAAATGTGCTGTTCGCATTAAGGCTCATGTATCAAGAAAACTGTGCTGATTCTCAAATTCTATTCTCCTGTCAGGTACCTAGCTGTCCTGGGCCTGCTATCTACCTTTGAGCCACAGTAAGTCCTAGTCCTTATTCTAGTCCTGTTCATCCTGGCTTGTCTGCAGCACTGGGGGCTTGACTTCGTCTATGGCTGTGCTTTATCTGAGATTGATCAGCCATCAGCTGGGTACATAAGCACGGCCTCGCCCTGGGAACATTATCAAGTTTTTGATCCTGTTTTGTGTGTTCAATTCCTGTTTTCCAGTCTCTTGAACTTTAACTCCATTTTGACCCTGGCTTCTTTTTTTTGTTCATCCAGATCTCTGGCATCCTTTGAGTTCGGCTATCCCTTGACTATCCTGCTGTTTGTGTCTTTGCCGGTGCCGCATTGGAATCACCTTTCCTGCACAGCCCCCCCGTGCACAGATTCACAGTCCAGGTGGATTCTTATCTGGTCACCTTGGACTGTGTATCTGCAAGGGTGAGCAAACATATAAGCACTACAGACTCCCATCTCAGATAAGAAGCCTGACAACTCCAGTTCTACTACTTTCCCACTTTGTTGTTTGGTTGTTATTCCCCTGGATTTTATTGAGTTTTTATACCCCCCATCCACTAGACTATAAGTTTGTTTCAGCAGGGTCCTCATCAACCTATTGTTCCTGTAGCATTTTGTAATTGTCTCATTTATTGTTAAATTTCCCCCTTTTATAATATTGTAAAATGCTGTGCAATAAATTGACATAGAAACATAGAATGTGACGGCAGATAACCATTCGGCCCATCTAGTCTGCCCAATTTTCTAAAATACTTTCATTAGTCCCTAGTCTTATCTTATAGTAATATATATAAATGTCACTAATAATAATAATATGTAGAAATCGCAACGGTTCGCTCATAGAGAAGGAATGAAACCGAAACCAATGTTTCTCTACAATAAACTCTCATAGCTGCTTTTAGTAAACACTTAACCCCCAAAAAACTTTATAAATGTGCCTATTTCTCTTGAAAGGGGAACTATTTGAAATAAGACAAAAGATACATGCTGTTAATCCCTAAAGCACTTCAGTAATCTTACCCCCTGAGTTAACCCCTAAAGCAATTACTGAAGCAAACATTAGGGATTTGGAGTGTGTTCTTAAGATCTATAAGATATCTCTGCTGTATTTTTTTTTTTATTTTTTTACATTCATTGATTTTTAATTTAAAAGTACAATACCAGTGCTTTTATTATCGTATTTCTAATTGCCTAAGCCAGGAGCTTCCTATATTTCTATATTCTCGTGCACTTGTGTGATAGGCATTTGACTAGCACAGCTCAGCTAATATTATTCAAAGAGATATTAACGTAATGCTGCATTAATTATTTTGGGGAATTATTTGGTAGGCACTTTTCCGAATAAATCCAGGCAATTTATAGTAAAAGGTTTCTTATCAATACCGAATAGCCCAACATTTAAATCCATCACTACCAAAATCTTTTGATTAAAACCATAGCATAGCTAGCTGTGATAAGGTGCATGGAATTTTCAGCGACGGTATAAATATTTCCCCTCTATTTCGGAGAGAGGGGTATGATATCCACTCCGTGGTTTCTGAACAACTGCAGAACAAAAATGACTAATCTGGGCCAGGAGTTCAAACCAACTCCAAACTTCCTTCAGCTGCAAGGTACTATTGGGGGGGGGTAGACATTCAGAGGGGAGAGAGACTTGTTGCAGCAAAGAATGATGAAAAATCAAAATATACAGGAAATCTGAAGGTTTATGAATCCGGTGTTTGTTAGTTCTACTTCTACTTGTTAGTGCACAGTTGAGCTAGGATTTCCTTTGTAGGAAAATTGTATGATTTCAGTTGCCTGCTACTGTACATTGAATATGGACAATGGTCATTATTGCAGACAAAAAACGGAGTGCTTTGTGTCTCGATAAAGCTCTGGTTAATCAATACATAGAGGACTGTGCTATTTTCTAAAGATCTGATGCCCTGTGGGGGAGCAGGATCACACTATCATGCATAGAAGTTTACTGGGTGCATTACATTATTATATAGTAGGGATAACCAAATATTGGAACCCTTATTTTTTTTTATAGAACCAAAATCTCTAGGATTCTTGGACCGGCTATAGGTGTACTTTAAAATATAATCTTTTACGATACAAGAATAATACTATTAATAAAGTGCTTACATTTTCTGGAGAACTGTACGTTGAGTCCACGAACCATACAACTACGTTAGACTTGCATGTTACAAGTGCTGAGGACCTTGCTCACATGAGCTTACAATCTAAAGAAGATGGGGTACAGATTTTAGAGGTAAAGGGGGATTACAAGATTTTCTAAAAACATTTTCTCATGACAGGACACAAATGTGGGAGAGAAGTTATAACTAAAAGTAAACATTATTTTAGAACAAGTGGTCTTACCTGGCAAGCTTTGGCAGTCTCCCATGAACTACACCATTCGCTGGGAGGAAGGTTACAGGTTTCCTGAGATGTAACAGCTAGTAAAGGGACAGTGAGGAGAAGCAGCACAGCGTTCATTGTGTTCAAAGTTTGCTGTATGTTTGGAAGCTGCATAGAAGCAAGTCATGCAGCAAGTTCCTGTCTTCAAATCTCAGCATTCTTCCTGATCCTCCCACAAATGACAGCACTGTGCAATTTGCCTGTCTTACAAAGAGCTTATTAGTAAGCCTGTTGGTTCTATGAAGAAAACTTTCTGTAGGATTGTTTCTCATTAGACCCCTACAGAGTTATTCACTAAAGTGAAAATTCCAAGTAAATTCAAAGTGGATTTCATTTACAAGGCTAACGTAGCCAAACTGGAAGCATAGCTGGCGTCGAGAATATTTTCCATTTTGACTTTTTCTACCTTAAATCTGAAATTTGCTTTGAGCTTGCATATCTTTTTTAGTGAATAACCTTGTTCGACAATGTAACTTTTTTTTTGTTTGAAAGCGCCTGGTAATGCATGTCTTTGTTTGGTTGGTTTTTGTTTGTTTTGTTTTAGTCTCACAAATTGAAATGTAATGATAAAAATATAAAATAAAATAAAGGTTCTTCCAGACTCATAGAATATGTATTGTTTGTTTTCCATGGGTAACGTATTGAGTGCCAAGACAGTTGAGTTGTTTTTGTTTGGTTCTCCCCCTCCTCCCACACAGGACGCTATAAAAATGAGATCAAGCTCTTAAATTTTTATCTCGATTAGCAGCATAGGTGTACCTAGGCACACCCTAATGCAGTCAGAGTGCTGGCACAGAGATAAAAGGGTCTCCTGACAAGCCCGGTGTTCCCTGGTAATAGGGATGACTTTAAGTGCCTCAGTCCCTCACCTCCTCAAGTCAAGCCATAACGATGGCTGCAGCCACTGATACAGAGGGGTAACAGGAAGAAATTGGTCTTACAGACTAAGTTCTCCATTCCTTCTACTCTATTAGAGCATTACCGCAGCCAGGGTCGGCCTTAGGGCGCCCTATGCAAAACAAATCGCCACAGCACCGCTTCCCGGTCATACCCCTTCATTTATGGATAGTGTATGTAAAGGGGTGTAGTGTTTATATAGGGGATTTATTAAATGTGTGTGAGAGGCGTAATGTCTGTGTGTGATATGTATGCTATGTGCTAGCTGTGTGATATTTGTGATGGGTGTATTGACTGTGTGTGATATATGTAAGCATATATTTCACTGGCTGTTTGTGAAATTTGTGCTGGGATTATTGGATGTGTGTGATGGGTATTTAATTCAGGGGAAAAATATGCATGTAGGCCCATGTGTGAATGCAGGTATGTATTTTTGCAGCTAACTTAAATCCCACATGTATTGTCTGTATGACTGTTTCTGTGTGTACATGTGACACTAAGTGTGCAGTTATAGATCATGCCTCCTAACTGTCCTGCTTTTAGCAATTTTGGGATACATCTGGAGACACTAGAGAACTGTCCTTGAGCAGCACCTTGTGAGCACATAATTAAACGTACTTGCGCTGTGCAGCGGGCACTAGGACCATATCAGGATCACTTCAGCAGCACTCCCTGCATAGTACTCATAGCTGGGGATAGGCAGGGCTGCCTGTCATGTGGCTGGCCTGTCTTTCCTTTTTTGGGGGGGGCCTGGCCCGCCTCTTCTTAGATAAGACCACGCCTTTTCAGCGGTCCTGCCCACTGTGGGCGCTGCTAGCCGGCCTTAGGCAATTAGGCGCCCTGTGCGAAAAGTCTTCACGACGCCCCCCCCCCCTACCAAGTTGCCTGTATACAGTTATATCCACAGGCAGGGGCGTACCTAGAGCATTTGGCACCCCCCTCCCTCCCCCTCAACTTTAAATTTAAAAACAACCCACATTTTTTTTTTTTATGTATTTAGCACTGAGCAGTGTTTGTGTGTTTGAATGCATGCATGTTTTTGTATGGAGTATATGTGAGTGAATGTAGCGGTGTGTTTGTATGTGGTGTTGGCGTTTGAATGCAAGCATGCATTTATATGTTGTGTGGTATTTGAATGTAGTGGTATGGTCATATATAATGGTGGGGTTTGTATGTAGTGTTGACATTGAAATGCAAGAGTGTATTTGTGTGTAGTGTTGGCGAGATTTTTAGATGTCTGCACATATACACATACACGGACATACACACATGCAGATACATATACACACAAACAAACACAGTCACACACAGATACACATTGACACACATGCAGACATCATGGCTACTCTAGGAACAATATATATGAGGGGGGGCACATAAGATACAGCAGTCAAAACAGGAGGGGGAGGAGGAGCAGTAAAACTTTTCACTAGTGGATGGGTTAATATGCTGCCATTGGCTGTCTGATGCCAGCATGCTGTGTTCTGCATGCTGGCATCTGACTACACATTTGCATATAATTCACATTAGCAACCCAGATTTCTTGTTGTGGGCTGGCTGACACCTCTTTATTTCAATCTTTGTTTAGCAGATAACTCCTCTATTTGCTATCCTTATGTGGGATTGCCATATTTAAGGACACCAAATAAGGTGCTATCTGCTAAACAGCACCCTCATTTGGTATCTACAAATATGGAAATCTCACATACGGGCACCAATTCAGGGAATGATCTACTAAACATCTAAAGGATTAAGATTAAAAAAGCCCTTTTCTTATTTTCAGTTGTTTAGTAGATAAATCCCTTATTTGTTATTCTTATGTGGGATTGCCATATTTAAGGACACCAAATAAGGTGCTATCTGCTAAACAGCACCCTCGTTTGGTATCTTTAAATATGGAAATCTCACATACGGGCACCAAATCAGGGAACTATCTACTAAACAGCTAAAGGATCAAGATTAAAAAAGCTATTTTCTTATTTTCAGTTGTTTGGTAGATAAATCCCTTATTTGTTATCCTTATGTGGGATTGCAATATTTATGCACACTAAATAAGGGCGCTATCTACTAAACACATACACAGAGATACACACAATCACACACAATCACAGATATACACAAACACAATCACAGACCCAAACAACTACCATCACATACACACACAAACATTACATACGTACACACATGTAATAATTAAAGGACCACTATACGTACCCAGACCACTTCAGCTTAATGAAGTGATCTGGGTGCCAGGTCCAGATAGGATTAACCCTTTTTTTTTTATAAACATAGTAGTTTCAGAGAAACTGCTATGTTTACACTGAGGGTTAATCCAGCCTCTAAAGCCTCTAGTGGCTGTCTCATTGACAGCCGCTAGAGGTGCTTGCGTGCTTCTCACTGTGAAAATCACAGTGAGAAGACGCCAGCGTCCATAGGAAAGCATTATGAATGCTTTCCTATGAGACTGGCTGAATGCGCGCGCGGCTCCTGCAGCGCATGCCCATTCAGTCGATGACGTCGCTAGGAAGAAGGAGAGGAGGAGGAAAGCTCCCCGCCCGGCGCTGGAGAAAGGTAAGTGTTTAACCTCTCCCTCATGGCATTATAGTGCCAGGAAAAAGAGTATGTTTTCCTGGCGCTATAGTGGTCCTTTAAGAGGTCCACCCAGCCTCCCTACCTTGCTCTAGAAGGGCTGGTGTGGATCCTCAGTCCCTGGTGGTCAGTGGTTGCTGCTGGGATCTCTGTGCTCTTCCTGCACAGGTCCATCGCACGGCCTGTAATGACGCAGAGACGCAATGACATCATATCCTGGCTGCCCACTCACTGCAGGGCGAAGACCGTCAGACACAGTCAAATGCCCACAGTCCCACACACAGTCACTCACACACAGTTACAGGCAGACAGTCAAACACGCAGGCAATCACACAGGCAGACAGTCACACATACACACAGATTCACAGACAGTCACACACACAATCACAGGCAGACAGTCACACAGACAATCACAGGCAGACAGTCACACACAGTCACACACACACACACACACAGAGTCACACAGACAATCACAGGCAGACAGTCACACACACACAGAGTCACACAGACAATCACAGGCAGACAGTCACACACAGTCACACACACAATCACAAGCAGACAGTCACACATACACACAACACAATCACAGATAGTCACACACACACACACACACACAGGCAGACAGTCAAACACACAGTCACACACACAGTAACAGTCACTCACACACCCACAATCACAGGCAGACAGTCACACACACAGTCACTCACACAACCACAATCACAGGCAGACAGTATCACACACACACACACACACACAGGCAGACAATCACACACACAGAGTCACACAGACAATCATAGGCAGACAATCACAGGCAGACAGTCACACACAGGCAGACAATCACACACACAGTCAATCACAGGCAGACAGTCACACAAACATACACACACACAGTCAAAGACAGTCACAATCACAGTTACACACAGCACACACTCTCTCACTTACAGTAAGCTTGGGCCGGAGGAGGAGTGGATTCAGTCCTGCTGTGCTGTAGTTGGGGAAGCAGGGACTCCTTCCTGCTTCCCCTCTGTGTGCAGCAGTAAGAGGCTGCATTTAGCTCCGCCCCCACACCCGGCTTGGCTCCGCCCCACGGCCGATCTGGCTCCGCCCAAAATCTCCATGCAGGTTTCCTGCTTGCTCCAAGCCCCTGCGTATGAGCTGTGTCGGCTGCCCAGCGCCCCTGCTGCTATGGCACCTGGTGCAGCCACATAGCTCACAGAATAGCAAGCCTGGCCAGCCCTGGTGGCACCCTCCTACTTGATGGCATCCAGGGCGGACCGCCCCCCCCTTAGTACGCCACTGCCCACAGGCACAGGAAGGCCACAAGAACAGGTGGCGGAGCACCCCATTAAGGCTGGGCATGGTAATGAATGGCCCTTGATGCCGCGGAGGAGTCCGGATAGGCATGAAGAAGGGGTCAGGGACAGCAGCAGTGGGTCGAAGTGTGTGTCTGTCAGTAAATGAGTGTGTCTGTTAGCTAGTGTGTATGCGTCTGTTCGTGAGAGTGTGTGTGTGTCTTCAGCACTTACCTTTCTCCGGCGACGGACTCCCTTGGCGCTGGGAATCTCTCCGCCCCGATCCGCCTCCCAGTTCCGAATGCGCATGCAAGGCAAGAGCCGCGCGTGCATTCAAACCGCCCATAGGAAAGCATTACTCTATGCTTTCCTATGGACGTTCAGCGTCTTCCCACTGTGATTTTCACAGTGAGAATCGCGGAAGCTCCTCTAGCGGCGGTCAATGAGACAGCCACTAGAGGCTGGATTAACCCTAAGTAAAACATAGCAGTTTCTCTGAAACTGATATGTTTTCAGCTGCAGGGTTAACACTGGAGGGACTTGGCACCCAGACCACTTAATTGAGTTGATGTGATCTGGGTGTCTGTAGTGGTCCTTTAAGTGTATGTGTATCTGCATGCACTGGCGTACATACTGCGGTCCAGCCCTGCGACCAGGTGTCCGCCACCATGTGTTGCGGCCACAGTCCGCGCAGAGTAAGCGCGGGGGGGGGGGGGTTTGGGGCCACAGATCTGTTTTCGCACCGGGGCCCCATGGGTTGTGTGTACGCCACTAATTGAGGCATTGCCCGCGCTTAATCAAGTAATTACTGTTACTTACAGTGAGGCTTTGTTTTCTAGTGTGGATTACAATCACATGTCTAGGGCATGCTGTTACTGTCTTGAGGCTGAATATTACTACATACCACTAATGGTGTCAGCAGTTCGCATAGCTGTGGTTTTCCAGCTCTCAGAAGCCATTGACTAATACTACTACTGCTGATAGTGGATTGGGTAACATGGCCCTTTCCCCTACCCTGCATCCATTGACTTGGAAGTGGGATGTGATATTGATGATTGTGGGTTTCTTTATCTTATTACAGTAAATGAGGTGTACAAATGACTGTGTATTGGGTAAACTAACACAGCTTTATTAAGCAAAATAAGTGTTTGGTTTGTAAAATGGGTTAGCTTTGTGGATTTAATGTTGTAAATTGTGTTTGATGTTAAGAAGCACTGGACTGAACAGGCAGAAAAAAAAAAAAAAAGTATTTTGTTTTCTTAAACCTTTTTAACTGTATATTGGTAAATAGTCTCTCACTAGGAGGAATGACAAGATGGCTGCCAAATGACAAATTCCCTTACTCACAGTTTTCTCCAGTGCTCCAGGCACTGCTTGCTGCTAGATACCGCAAAAAACACTAAAACTTGTCTCACACGATGTACCACTCCTGGTTTGTCTCCATCAATAGATGAAGCAAACGTTTCTTAAAGTATAATTGTCTTATTGTTCCTCCTTTTATTTTATATACATTTTCTAGTCTTCTATTTCGAATGCTCTTTGTTACTGGAGCATTATTAAATAAGATCTCTGCTGTCAATGGAGA